TTTTTCCTGATCTCCAGACAGACTCCCATCAGACAGACATTGGTCTGCCCACGCTTTTCACTAGTGATCCCCCACACCTCATCAGTCTCTTTTGAACAACCAGCTGAGTGTTTATAAACGATTAAATAGTTAAGAGTTTTATTTGGAAAGCTATGCTTTATGGTAGCTTTGGAACATTCTCATTCTGCTCATTGTTCTTCAAAAGGCAAGAAAGAGGCACAGAGCAGTTCTGTGCGGGGGAAAATTCCCAATTATACAGAAAAAGAGCCAGCCGACACCGCTAAGAATCCTCCTTCCATGCCTTGGAGTGGACTGATTCCTGAGTCATACTTAGGGTTCACTCTTGTTATATAGGAGGAGAAGGAACAGGACAGGGAGTGATAAAACAAAAGCCGCCAACTCTTGTCTTGTGCCCAGGAAGAGGAGGTGATGTGAGACTATGTGCTCATCCCAACTGCGGGCAGGGAGATTCTTCTCTGTATGCTTTATCATGGTTTCCCTCTTCTCTTCAAAATGAAAAGAACTGGGTTCATTTTGGTAACAAATGTAAGAGCTGGTTATTTTTCAAACTTAGATAATACAGAAAGCACTATTTTTTTAAAAAGCAGAAATTATCTATAGGGTTAGAGGCTCAGTTTCCAGCACCCATTTTGGGCAGCAAACTTCAGGTCCTGGGGATCCAATGGCTCTGGCCTGCACACACACAGATATAAACACATAATTAAAAATAAGTCTTTCTAAAACCCATCTGTAACTTTACCACTGAGCAACAGCTTCTTTTAATGTATTCATGGACATCCCTTCCAAATTTTATTCTACACATATCACATATGTGTAATCATCTTTCCTTTTAAAAAGCAGAAGTTGGTGGCCAGCAAGGTAGCTCAGTGGGGAAGGCACTTGCATAAGCCTGACACCTGAATTTGATTCCCTGAACTGATGTGAGAGTTTGAGAAGAGCTGATTCCACAGGATTATCCCGACCTCCATACATGCACCACGACATTCCTGAGTGGTGTACACACACACACACACACACACACACACACACACACACACACACACTCTCTCTCTCTCTCTCTCTCTCTCTCTCTCTC